AAGGTCTAGGGATAGTTTGCATCAGGGCCCCATTATTCGTAGGCCGATTAAGGCTGAATTTTAATCCAGGTTTCTATATTTCTCTGTTCAAAAGCCGTTTGGGGATAATTTTCCCAATTCTTTAGATCATTCAATCGTCAAATTGTAGACAAATTGAATTAAACTGAATTTTCTTCTAAAGCTTTCAGATCTGATATCAAATTTTACCCTACTCCTGGGTTATCTTAACCCACCTTTGAATAACTCGGCCCAGTAAAAGAGTTTCTTCGCCTGCGGGTAAGTTTGAGGCCTTGAGCAACGCAAGACGGAGAGGGGTCTAAAAGTGGTCTGACGCTGATAATAAATATCAAAGCCAGATCTCTGCCAGATCCCTTGTAGATCCCTCGCAGGCTCGCATTGCACAAGGCTTTAGAGTCACTCGGGGGCAAAGAAACATTCCTGCCACACGATATTGGTAATGATGGCCTACTCGCGAGCTACCTCAAAATGTCCATTACCAGCTTTGGTTCTTCGACTCCAGTACGCATCAAAGTTCGTCGAGTTTGTGCGATCTACGTTTCCTGCAAATGTTGGGAACCATGACCATATTTGGTAAATCATATTGCCAACATAGAAAAGGGATAAAAACTTGGACAAAGTGAATCGTTTTCAACCTTTATCATTACTTTTTTTCGCAGTAAAACTTCAATATCACCACTTGCAGCATACGTTTAATGCAAAGTATATCATTTCGAAAATTACGAAACGGGTTCAGATAACCAGCAAAGTTGTAAGTTCGACCCCCGCACGGCCCATTTCAATTTTCTTCCCCTCGCAGGATTCAGGATGGTCAATATCAAAGTTATTTATTCTTTTTTTTTTTTACCATATGTATATCTGTGATTTTTTTGGGGAAGCTTTGTCAAATAAACTTCATAAGTCACTGATGGTTTTTCTTTTCAAAAAATTTTAATGAAACAAAACATTTTGGAGAATTCGGGTATCGATCCCGGTACCTCCCGCATGCGAAGCGGGCGCTCTACCATTTGAGCTAATTCCCCATACAGAGCTGTTACGGTGATTCCTCGGTATTGGATTGCATATGCTGTACTGCGCATACAAATCACGTAATCAGGTGAATAAGCGCTCCGAGAACACGGTATTGTTTTTCAATCAATGGAAAAGGTAAAAAGGTGCGATGGTCTTTGGCTCTTGAACGAGCATGGTGACCCACATTTTTTATTGTATAAATTTGGTGTACAAATCATCTCCTTTGGAGAAATTAAAAAAAAATTATCGAAGGGAAAAGAGGATATAGTTAAAACTGTGTACAAAGCCCGTTACTCCATAATGCAAATCATGACTTTGAAAGCAACGACTCGAGGAACTTTTGAGTCGCTGTCTCTTAAATTGCGTGATTTTTCCTCAAATTGCTGATCGAATTGTTCCAAACGCTCGAGACTTTCTACCTATCAAGTTTTTTTCAAGCGTAACTTTAAAAACCCTTGCTTCCAGCTACAGCAAAATGTACCGTGAACGATGAAATGACGCGCATGATCAGTAGTACCAGTAGGACATAAATGAGATAAGTTTGGCCCATCATATCTCTTAAACAAGCACGGTAACCAGTCTTTTTTATTGTATTTTCGAAACAGATTTTTGGTAAGGAACATTTAAGGAAAATTTCAAACCTTTTTTCGATAACTTTTTTTTTTTTTGAGGAATCACCTTAAAGGTAAATATACAGAGTTGGTCTTGTTGTAAGCGAACAAGGACAAATAAATAATATGTTAATGTTTGTCCATGAGGAATCGAGCCTCCGAAATTAGGTTTCCGAGCTCCAATTTTCTATTTCTGCGCTATGATAACTCTTTCTTGCCGCTAGTATTACCAAACTTATATGTGACACGTGTCTAGCATTCTGCTTGGATCAACAACGTAGAATGCGTCATACTTTTCTCAAACTGGTTTGAAGCAGTATTTTGCAGCAATTATTAAGATCAGGTGCATGGCGGATTGCAAATGAACAGAGTCTTGTGGTAATAGAGTTTGTGATTTTGCAGCCTAAGGAGACAACCTCGTTCCCAGGGTCTCTCATCTTTCCGCCCCCTGGAGAGAGAGAGGAGGGGCGGAAAGATGAGAGAGCCTGGAAACGAAGTTGTCTCAGGAGAGTCGTTTGAGACATTTTACGGTCGCCTTCTCGGCTCAAGTACGCAATGACAGTTCCCGAAACAATGAGATCCGTTCAATGATCGCCGGGGTCGGAGTTGAACCCTTGATATTACTGGAGTCGACTCGAGTCATAAGAGACTCATAGTCCGCCATTTTGTCCACCCACGGTCTTCCTTGAAGGAAGGCAGTAGGCACAACAAGTAAATCGCATGTTGCGCGGGAAAACGCCTGTGAACAAGGAGAACATGGGTGTACATTTGCATGTGATTGGTCGACAGGATGACGCGAGTTTTCTGGTCCAATCAAAGAGCACACTAAAACAAAATCAACGCAATCTTGGATAAAGTCGGAGCTCATTAGGGACCAATCTTGAGCCCAAAGTCACTTCAACACCTTGAGAGCAGTATGGACGCCAATAATAACCTTGGGCTTGAGTCTTTACTACCCTCAAGGTTATAGACCTCTGGTCCCTTTCGACAAGATCATTCTAGCGTCACTAATCTAATTAAAGTCTCTACGGATCTTCATGGATAAGACTTTGATTATTCCAGATCTGTAAATTGAAAAAACTTGTACAAAGTCAACTCGAGACATATTTTGTTTGAAAATAATTTTGCGTGTCTAAGATCTTATCAGAATTATTGTTGATTTTTTTCTTTTTTTTTTTTCCTTGTCGTCATTAAGATTTCCGGGTGGTGTGCCTGTCACAACGCGTAATTAACTGCAAAGGACACTGATGAATTTGTCATGCAAGGAGCGAAAATGACCTTCACATTGCCACTATGAGAATATTGTTTGATTTTTAATTAATATAAAACCCCGCTGTAATACACAGATAGCAAAATTAATTTGCAGACGATTCAATGTCTTTAACAGTTTGTCAGTAGATAATCGAAGGAGATATTAGATTTAATCACAGCACGATAACTTTTGATTTCCTAGATCGAAATCAAAATTTCTCAGTCACCAGGACGAGATATGTTTCATTGAAAATGCATGCAAGGAACACTTTTACATTAGGTACAAGTTGTATTTCCACCTTGAAAGAAAGTCAATAAGCACCTTAGTGCCATGAAATAACTGTAATTTTTCGTGTAGCCAATGGCATTGGGGCGGCACGTAGGAAAGCTTGAAGGTCAATGCCATAATCTCTAGAAATAGCTGACTATTGGACCAACAGGACACCTAATTTTAAGGATATTTATAAGGTGCATGTTGCGAAAAGACGCCGGCAAGAAACGAAATTTATTGTTTCGAAGACAGTTAAATCGAAAGATTTCATATTGTTTTAATTTCAAATTAAACTGACCCATTCAGAGAGAACTGTGCAAACATAGACTTCGAAATTGCCTTAGCTCAACCGACCTGAATATTACAGCTTGACGTTCAAACGTTTTCCCTTTTTTTCATCGCATATCATTTATTGAAAAATAAGCTATATTGCAGTGGTCGTCCAACGCTTCCAAGTCTCTCTTTTTTAAGCTTAACGAATTGATTAAAATCACTATTTAGAGCTTTAAAACTGAAGAAACAATCTGTAGCATGTTCACACTTACGTACCGACGAATGAATGCTTGGAGTGATTTCAAATTAGCTAAGCAGATGTGCTTAAGTTATACAATGGCAGTCGCGTCAAAATGATCCGCAAACATTATTAACTGGATTTAGAAAAAGAGTTATTGAGCTCGCTAGTTGATTCTAGAAGACAAAGCACTACAGGCTTAGGGAAAGATTTCAACGGTAAGACACAAATATTTGGCTTTTAAAGCCCCTTATGGATTCATTCATAGTTTTTCGATGCAATAAGTCTAATTGAAAATTTTAATTTTAGCCTTCAATTTACTACCTTTCAATATGCTGGCAACATTAATTAAACTTCTCTGTAAACTATGTTGAACTCTGCAGATACGTTCTGACTGAAAGACTTCTTCGGGGATTTTCAAAGGGTTTTCTTGAGCTTAGAGAAGTTTATAAATGAAAGAAGCTTAATTTGTTGCAGGGTATACATGAACATATTTGAGCAAAGGTATCTAGGTGGTTGTTCAGTTTTGACAAAGCGAAATAGTTATTTTGACAACAAAAAGCATGTTTAGTTACACATTCAAATACACACGGAGCACGTTCCTTGCATCCAATACAAAGAGTCAAGTACAAAACTTCAGCACTTTTACTTTACAACAGCAAATATCTTGTACGGAGGCAAAAAGACCTTTGACTGAAGGAGCCGCCAAATTAATATTCCTCGTCGCATTTTTCGCCCTTCAAGAAAATCTTTTATCATGGAAAAACTGTTGTGAACACAAAGACAGCATTAATATTTGATAACCAATCATCACAGTGGAACTATCCAGATGATCAAAAACAAGAAATTTAGCGTTCATGTTGGGCGAGAGTTATCTAGATTGCAGTTCGCAAAAGGGAAAAAAAATTCGTAAGTCTAAATATCACAGAAGATTAAGTTTCAATAGATAGCAAATGTCAATTCTAAGAACTCTTTCAAACGCTCCATTTTCTAAAAATTGAAAATAAACACACGATTGATATTCAAATATGTTTTCATTGAATAGTTTTTCACTTAGCTCATTTTATTTTACACGAGAAGAAACCCTTAATAAAACACATAATTATAGCTGATAAAACTCACCGCCTAACCTGTTTACATCTTTGAATAATGATACCATATTTTTGCGCCTCCAGACTTACCACAGAGGCAAAAACAAAAATTAAATATGAATGAGGTGAGTGTTATGGTCAAATCAAAACTATGGAAAAATCTGCGGGAGAAACATTACGTGCATTTATCGCGCTTTGTGCGGTGTGCAGCGAGTGCGCAAGTCAGTGGAGTAGACGTAGTCAGGATAAGGAGATTCGGAAAAGTTTTAAGAAACGCGAGCTGGCCTCGCAAATTAGCATTTGGATTGATAAGTGGAAGGATAATTCGAAGGATACTTCGTAGAATATTGGTTGAAAGTTATCATGGACACGACAGAAAATAGCACAAAAATGGACAAAAGCTCGCCCGCGCTGTCGCCAACTTCAAGTATATTTTTAGCCCTTATGCTGGTTTTAACAGCTGTTGTGAACATCATCTCCAATGTGTTAGTATTGGTCATTTTAGCGCGAAACAACCGCCTTCGTACATGTACGAACGTTTTCATCGCTAATTTGAGTGTGGTGGATCTTTTGGCAGGTATGATTTTAATACCTGCAGCTGCCGAATCGCTTTTTTCGCAAGATGACCAGCAAATAGCTGACATGAGCTATGCTCTAGTCTGCGAATTCTACGGCTTTTTGAATTCGCTTTATGGAATCGGCTCCTCATTAACGGTCGCAGTAATAGCTTTGGATCGTTACCACAGTATTTTAAACTGTCTACAATACGAAACGATCGTTACTCAACGGAGAACAGCGTTGCTAATAGCTTGGATTTGGCTACAGGCAATTTTTGTCTCGCTGTGTCCTCTTGTGGGCTGGGGAACGTTTTCACTTAACCCCAGTCAACGATGTTCTTGGTATTCTCCTGACAAAAATGGATTTATTTACTTCAAAACAGCTACCTGCGCGATACTCCCTTATGCGGTTACAGTTTTCTGTTACATTAGGATTCACGTTGTGGCAAGAAGGCACGCTAGAACGATTGTAAACATTCAAATTCGCGATGCGAGAAATAGACTCAAGAGCGGTGGCGTCAACGCAAATCTTTCGGCGTCAAAAAAGACGATCATGGTTTATATCGTTCTTGGTGTGTACACGGTCTGTTGGATACCATATTACGCTATACAATTATTAGTAACTGCATTTCCTTCGGTGATACTTCCTGACAAATTTTTACTAACTGCAGCTGCGTTATCGCTCATCAATTCGGCATGTAACCCTATTATGTATGCATTAATTACGAGCCAGTTCCGAAATGGACTAAAACGCGTTTATCGCCAGATTCGACGCCACATTTTTTCCGGCGACGCGCGGCAGGTTAATCCAAATGGACCACGCGGAGATTCAAGAAGTTCATGGACTTTTACAAGATCCAGCGCAAAACGATTTTTCGCAACGAGCCAAGAGGCAGCGAGACCAAAGCTTGTTATCACAGACATGAATCCAGTCTGTGCGGTTATTAGAGAGGAAAGTTCGATGAACACAAAACCACCCTCGCCGCCCGAAGAAGCGCGGGGGACTGGAACCTTCCTCACTGTGTATCCACTGACGTTACAAGTACCAACGGAACACAGGCATACAATAAGAAAAAATCCCGATAAGAACCCCAAGGAGTTAGAAGTTAAGAAAAATGGATGGATAGGGGAGTAATACTCGGAAACATTTTTTCTTTTCTTCTAACGCTGGGCGGATTGATTACATTTTGCGTGAGTGGTAACCTTAAAATAAAGTGGATAATACCGGGCGGGTTTTGTTTGGTGTCTCTCTACAGATGGCCCGATAAATGAATAATCATTTTCTATCAGATGTAGTGATAAAATTTTCACGCAAGATTCTGCGATAAAGTAAATCGAATTGATTATTTCTCCTGCACGAATTTACACTCCAGAAATATCAAATACCGACTAAGTGTGATAATACATTTTTCTCCGTTTTGCGCTTGCTTTGAAAGAGCCCGAAGGATTAAGATAGAGTCCATTATTTTGACTTGTAGTTTATTTTAAATCGTGACAAATAACCCCATAATGATGCTGACCACTCCTAGTGTTTTTAGGAGGATAATACTCCTAAAAAAAAAGAAGTAAAAAAAAGTGAAAGAACCTGTAATTGTTTACTCGGATTTTGGTTCCTTTTGAGTTATTTTAATATACAGTGATGACGTCTTTTGGTCACTTCAATGAGTAGATTTTGGTTTAAGCTTGATGTCACGGGAGAAATTTTATCCCCGAAAACATCAGACTTCCTCTCGGTAAATGGTAAGAGATAACAATTTCAAAAAATATCTATAATAACTCGAAAAAGGCAGATGCTTCGCTAATTACGTGAGCTAATTTTTTCGGCCAACAACTTTATTGAATCTATATTATCTTTGTTTTATTTGATGATTCAGGGAAGTGTCTTTTTAGTCCTTTTGAGTTTGGCTTTGTAAAGAGCCGAAACATGTCCACTGCAGAACCCGCGGTTCATCTTTATATTTCGTAGCACCTTTCTTTCCCAAGCTCCAGCGCAGAAAAAAAGTTACTTGGGAAAGTAGAAGGGTCGGATGGTACAAAATAGTCGCTTGGTACTAACTTTATATGGTTTACTTGAATCGATTATCGCGTGTGAAACGCGTTGAGGGTATTGTCAGTACGTCTGTTCAGTCAGCCTTGACGAGTCAGTTATTCGGCCGGCCACTCGGCCAGTCAGCCAGTCAGCCAGTCAGTTAGTGTCAGTCGTTCAGTCAAACAGTAAGTCAGTCAGTCAGCCAGCTCCGAGTCGGTTAGTATCATGTATATCAATACACAAAACCTGAAAGCTTTAATTTTCGTTCTCTTTTTTCGCGTTTGTATGGACTGAGACGAAGTCGAGGTCCATAACATCGCAAAAAAAAAAAAAAAAAAAAGAACTCGGCTAATATCCGATCCAGCCATCTTGACCTCACGCTTGGTCAATAATCCATATATAGTGGCGCGAGAGTTTGAGCGTTTTGCCGCCAACGAAGTTGATGAGTATTTAGCTACACAGGCCCAAGAGAACCAACTCTTGACTTTATAGAGGAGCTCTAAGGATGTCACTGATTTTATCAGTTTCTTTTCAGAACTCAAGTGTGAACGGAAAAGAGGAAATAGTTCTCTCCAAAGATCGGTTGTTCGACAAAGTCGTTTGGAGACATCGCAGCGGTTTGAACTTAATAAACAGTTTCCCTTCTCGATTCTTTTGGATTTGAATTTAAGTCATGCTTCTGTGGTGTTCAGAAGCGAAACGGGACTTTTTGGACCCCCAGTCGATCACATGATTCTCGTCGTAAACATTGAAGGTGTTCTGTGTTTAAGGGATGTCGTTTTATGCGATTCGTTTCTGACTCCTGTCCTCATTGGACTGCCGCCTTTGCAGATCAACGGCAGGGTGAAACGTGCGACCATTATTTCTATGAAAAGAAAGTGAAAATTATTGTCGCCGAGTTTTGTAACGAGGAGGTAAATTTTACCACCGGCAATGAATGTGTCTCTTATGTTTAGGTTTGACTTCATTCCAAGAGACTGAAATATGTGACTTCCGTGAGATGTTACTTTTCCATCGAACACATTCAAAAACCCAACTCACCCACGATCGCCTTTGTTCTTTGGCAAAAGCCCTGGGGGAGGATAACTTTTTCAGGGAACAAACTGATTAATTAAGTCAACTTATTTGGGAGACAACAAAATCTCAAAGGAAACAAAGGAATTCTCGGTGAGGAGGAAGAGATGGTAAAGAAACTTGAACAGCAGTTTGGAATATATAGTTTGCGGATCAGCTCAGGTGAAACAAAAACTTCGTTTTGAAAATGTTCTTTTTTTCTATACGCTGTTTGCCCGTCAGTCAAAAATAACGTGAATTCCTTTCGAAGGTTGACGAACTGTCCTTGAGAAACAAGTCAACCATCTCACTGTTTTTCAGTTCTCAGCGCACAACCTCTCGTGGAACAAGATAAAAACTAACAGAAAAAGATCTACTGGGAGAAATCATTGTAAATATATCTTTCTATCTTATTTGGTGATGAGGGAAACTTTTTCTTCCCATTAGCCTCTTCTATGATGTGTTTCTACTTGCCAACTGCATACTTGATCGATCTTTAATCATTTCTGAAATAAACATTAGTCCATTTTAACTATTTTTTGTGATTTTTTTTTTATTCTCAGTTTGATTGTTTTGTTGTTGTTGTTTGTTTTTTTGACCCTAAGGTTAATGGCTGAATATTTATCTCAGGTGAAATGGACAGATCTTCAATAGAGTACGTCCCCGAAATTTTATTATTGGAATTTCTGTTTCACATGGTTTAAGAACTGAGGACCCCTTTCGCTCAAGCGACAGAGCCAGTCCCTCGAAGCAGCAGACACTTACCTAATACTGTAGTGAAAGAATATTCATCCCTTGAACATGTGCTAGAATGTAATTTTTTTCTTTCTTCGCTGAGTTTTAGTTTCTTATTTGCTATCCTAAGTTATCAAAATATTTCAGGAGGTCTTCAGAAGCACTTACAAAAATATTTTCGCAGGTTCCTTTACACACCACTTTTAACCAATAGTTCCTTTTAAAAAAATCGGTAGGTAATGTACTTTTTTCTGAAGCCCTCCCTTTTACCTGAGATCAGCATTCAGTCATTTAGCTGATGTCGAACAAACAAACAGAGGTTAAAAAAGCAAAAAACAACATCAACATAAGACACAGAAAAAAATTGAATTGACAAAAAGTTTATCACAAAGTTTAGTGGCGACTGAAAGCAGAATGAGTGAGCAGTTTGCTTAAACAGATAAGAGTGCAGTGGGGGAAGACGTTTCCTATACCCCAAAGCAAATATTTTTTTAACTTTTTTTTTAATCTTACGTGATAAGCATACATTGTCTTTTTTATCTCACCTTGAAAGATACCAAAGCCAGTGGCTTATGTAGAACAGGTTAAGCGGAAGTCAACACGTGCTGCTAGTTACACTCTTAGCGTAAATTCATGCGAAACGAAAACGACAATTACAACAGTTATCAGTAATCGTCAGGCGTCAGGGGGGGAGGTTGGAGAATTTCATTTGGAGGGAGCACATGGTTTTCAAGGCAAAGGAGGTAGGATCAGTCGTCGCCAACAGACTATAAAGTAGGGACAGAAATTTGACTGCAAGTTAACTGCCAATGAGAGGGGAATCATAAGAATGTCAGAATATCACAAAACTTTTAAAAAGAGGGATCAGGTAAATATTATCATGACACAACCAAACTAAACCGACGCTCCCCCCCCCCCCCCATAAATAATGTTCAGTCCCTAAAAGCAAGGAAAATTAAACAAAACTATGGATTACAGTAAAGGAATCAACATAGAATGAATCTAGTGATAGCCAAAATATATTTGTTTTTCAGAAGATCTTATTCTAATCGTTATTATTTTGTTCAATTAGAATCGCGTGACGAGACCTGAATAATTAATTCACCTACTAAATCTCACGCAATCTCTGGATGATAAGCAAAATAGTGTACGGTTAGCATATAGTTTAAATCTTCCTTTCCTTGCTCTGATCTGATCCGCAATACATGGAGCCCTCAGGGTATAAACAAGATTCCTTTTTTATTCCAAACTGTTGTTCCAGTTCTTTTACTATCTCTTCCTCTCCGCCGAGAAGTTCCTTTGTTTCCTTTCTGATCTTGTTGTCGCCCAAGTAAGTTGACTTGGTCACTTTGTTCCCTGAAAAAGTTATCCTTCCCCAGGGTTTTGCCATGGTACAAATGCGATCGTGGGTAAACGGTGATTTTGGATCTGTTTGATGGAAAAGCAACATTTCATGAAAGTCACACATTTTCCTAGGAATGAGTTCGAACCTACACCTTGGAGACCATTCGTTGTCGGTAGTCAAATTTACTTTTGCTTTTTCTTCGTTACCAAACTCGTCGACGATAGTTTTCACTTTCTCTTCGTAGAAACACCTGTCGCCTTCTTTTCGAATACGATACGTCCCACTACTTTGTTCCTGTTGATCTGCGGAGCAGCCAAAGAGGAGAGGAGTCAGAAAGGAATCGCCAAAACCAACATCCGTCAACCACAGCGCACCTTCAATATTTACGACGAGAATCATGTGATCGAATGGGGGTCCAATACGTCCTGTTTTTCTACTGTATACCTCTGAAGCATGCCTTTGAAACTCAAATCCAATGTAATCGAGTAGCAGGGAAAAAACTGTGTTAAGTTCATAGCAGAAACCGCCGCGATGTCTTCGAACGACTTTGTCGAACAACCATTCTTTGGAGAGAACTATTTCCTCCTTTCCGTACACACTCAAGTTCTCAAAAGGAACTGATAAAATATGACATCTTTGAAGCTCTTCTAGAACTTCAAGAGTTGGCTCTATTGGGCCTGTGTAGCGAATACGAGCTAAATATTCATCAACTTCGTTTGCGGCGAAACGCTCCAACTCTTGCGCCATCGGTACCGATTCAATATCGCGTGACCAGTATGCGTGACTTCTTGCGCATGTCACTTAAACGCTTCTATTCGCATGCGAGAGTTACATACATAAGCTTTATTTATACACCAAATAATCTGGATATATCAACAAAGTTGAAGTGATAACGATTACAAAAGCTGACGTTTCGAGCATTAGCCCTTCTTCGGAGCGAATAGAGGAATTGTGGGTTGTGTGTGCTTTTAAAGGCAGAAAATGGAGCTACGTTATTGGTGGGAACATGGCAACGAGAAAAACTAGAGTAAATTAGTGGAATGAAAAGCGTTCGTTGATCCCTGTGGGATTTAGACTGCCGGTTTGAAAGATGAGCTTTTGTTCAAGATTTTTACTGCTTTGTTGATATATCCAAATTATTTCGTTACTCCCACCGACGCAGCCCCAAACAGTTTCTTTCGAAACTATCAGCCTTTATTTATTTATANATAAACATTGGCGATTCACTGTGGTTGTGTGATGTCGGTTTTGGAGATTCGTTTCTAACTCCTCTCCCCATCGACTGTTCAGGAGATCCGCAGGAACAACAGAGTGGGGCTTATCGTATTCGAAAAGACGGCGATCAGTATTTCTACGAAGAGGAGACTACTCGCGGAGAGATCATTTATGTAAACCAAGAATAATATAGGTCCCAGGATGGAACCTTGAGAGACACCACACACACTGGAGCCGTAATCAGAAAGAGAACCATTAACATAAGTTCTTTGCTTACGATCAGTCAGATATGATTGAAACCATTTTAAGCTAATGGAGTCAACCCCATAGAAATTGAGCCTTTTAAGTAGTATTTCATGATCAACAGTATCGAAAGCATTTTTAAGATCGAGAGGAAGAACTCCATTTAGTAGGCCATTATCCATATTAGTAAACCAATCATTGGTTATATCTAGAAGGGCAGTCAAAGTGGAATGACAAGGTCGAAAGCCCGACTGTGCATCGGCAAGTAAATCGTGCCTAATTAAAAAATCACAACTGGTTGAAGACTACTCTCTCAATAAGTTTACTGACAATCAGCAAGATAGATATAGGTCTATAATTATTTGGATTAGTTTTGAAATCATCCTTGTAAATAGGAGTGACTCTGGTTACCTTCCAACCATCAGGAAAAATACCGGTATTAAAGATCTATTTATGATATAGGTCAAGGATGCAGAGACAATAGGTCCCAGTTCTCTTTATAGTTTAGCGGAAATACCATCAAGACCACTTGCCTTGTTCAGCGGTAACGATTGAATCAGTGTTAGTACGATAACATTAGATGTTTTAGTTAGAGAAAAGACATGTGGCAGAGGAAGAAGATAGTCAATAAACTTTGCGTCTGTGATGTGAGGGGAATCTCATTTGCTAAAATTGGCCCTACGCTACAGAAATGGTGATTTAACCCATTACTGATTTCATCAGGGGTAGTGTAAATGGTATCGCCAATTTTCAGGCTATGGATTCTGGTGGGTTGCGGTATTTTACCGAAAATGGTATTAATCCCTTTCCAAGTGTTCTTAATGTTAGCCCGGTTGTTTTTGAAAAACGAATTATAGTATGAGACTTTTGCCTTTTTATAGCGATATTGACCTTATTTCCCAAAGCCTTGAAGCGCAATGACAGTTTTTCTTAAGGGACTTCGTAACACAACGCACACTCTCAGGATTGGTGAAAAATCGATTTTACATTTGCCTGTAATCCCATCGAAAACTAATGCACCTTCCCATCTTGTCAAATAGCGCCACACGGGGCGAATTCCTAGATTTTAATTTGTTTAAGGCCTTTGGTTTGGAGGGAACGAAAAGGACACTTCGAACGCCAAAACCATTGACAAAAACTTTATTTTTCCAACATTATCAAAATTTTCTTCTTAAAAGCAGTTTAACTTCCTGGTTGCTCCATTTCAAACCTTTTTTTCGCTAAGCGGTTAAAGGGAAAGAACTTCTAAAACTCTCGAATAGAATTCTCCAAACTGCTCGTCGAGAAGGAAAAGTTGGAATGTTTTTACTTCAAGAAAATTGTAGCGACTAACGATCTGGATTTTTATTCAGACATTTAGTGAAAATCTTTACTTAGGAACAAAACCCACTTGGAGACGGAATATGCCGTCGAGATTTATGGCAATTCAGTTTGCTGTCCGCGATTTTAGCTTTCATTTGATAGTTTTTGCCAAGTTTAGCATTTTAAGCAATTTCTGTAAATTTTAACGCGGACTCCATGTGAGCTTTAATTTAAACTGAGGCAAATTTGGGCAAAGGAATTATGTCCCTTGAGTCGGGTGTCAGGATGAATCGAACTCCATCGAGAACAATCTAATGGTTCGATATCTAAATTCGCTCAAACAAAAACCAGTTTTGTATCTAAGCTAGAGCTCCAATGCTCTGACAAACCTAGACAAACAATTGAGCCCATTATTTGTATCGTCCTTTTAATTTAATTAGTGCGTTATTCAATTAATTTCACTGCTTCTGCTCTTCGTAAAGCGTTTGTATCTTCAGAATAACTGGTACATTAACAAATGGGAAGCCCGGGTAAGGGAAGGGCTTCTGAAAAAAGTAAATTACTTACCGAACTTTTTGAAAGGAAGTGTTGGTTTAAGTGGTGCATGAATGAACCTTGCAAAAAGGTTTTTGTAAGCGCTCCTGAAGACCTCCAGATGTTATTGGATAACTTACGATAACAAACAAGAAGTTAAAACTCAGCAAAGACAAAAAATTGACGCTTCGGTACAATCTTAAGAGCAAAATTTTCACTTCCGTTTGAGTTAAGAAAGTCCGCTGCGATTCGAGAGACTGCTTGTCCCGTTTGAGTGAAAAGCGTGAAATATCATGATTGACAAGCGCAAGAAGTCACGCATTTTGGTCACGCAACACTTTCGTGTAACAATGGCGGATGAGTTGCAAGCTTTGACCGTAAACGAAGTAGAGGAATATTTAGCTCGAATTCACTACACAGGCCCAATAGAACCAACTTTTGACGTTCTTAAAGAACTGGAACGGTGTCATATGTTATCAGTACCCTTTGAGAACTTAAGTGTGTTTGGAAAGGAGGAAATAGTCCTCTCTAAAGAATGGTTGTTCGACAAAATCGTTCGAAGACATCGTGGCGGGTACTGCTTTGAGCTGAACTTGAGTTTTTCGTTGCTTCTTGATTATTTTGGGTACAGCTACGACAGGAAATCTGCTGCAGTCTATAGCAGAAAATCGGGGATTATCGCACCACCGATTGATCACCTGATAAACGTGATAAACATTGGCGATTCACTGTGGTTGTGTGATGTCGGTTTTGGAGATTCGTTTCTAACTCCTCTCCTCATCGACTGTTCAGGAGATCCGCAGGAACAACAGAGTGGGGCTTATCGTATTCGAAAAGACGGCGATCAGTAATTCTACGAAGAGAAAGTGAAAACTATAGTTGACGAGTTTGGTCGCGAAGGAAAAGCAAAGGAGAAATTTACCAGTGAAGCTGAATGGGGAATCAGGTATAGGTTTGACCTGACTCCTAGGAAAATACGAGACTTCCATGAAAGGCTTATTTTCCACCAAACAGACCCAAAGTCTCCGTTTACTCACGATCGCATATGTACTATGGCAAAATCTTGGGGAAGGTTAACCCTAACAGGGAACAAACTGACAACTTCCACCTATCTGGCAGACAACAAGGTCAAGAAAGAGACAAAGGAACTCAGCAGAGAAGAAGAAATAGTAAATGAACTCGAATTAAAGTTTGGAATTAGAAAAGAATCTTGTTTGTATCCTAAAGGATCTATGTATCACGGATTAGATCTGAAGGGAAAAGTATCTTAAGTCGAAATCATTTCAGGGCTTTCCGTTACGTAATGGTATGCGATAAACATTTTATTCTCTCAGGCCTCCCCTTCAGTAGTGCATCGCTGAACGTTTGATTTGAAATAGAATCGCACTGACGGTCACGGATTGTCTTTTTGAAGGTTTTTCTCAGAGGAATAACGATTCAAATAAAGGTTGATAAAAGGTGCTGTCAAGAGGCCAGAAGTAGTTCGTTGGTAGTAGTTTGGTAATTTACGCAATATCACGCTAAACACTATGTCGAAAGTTCAATTCGAAACAAAAGATTGGATTCTTTTTCTTCTGAAGCAATCAGGTCGAACGGGCGATGTTACTCTCAGATGCATGTTACAAACGGGTCGTTTAAACTTGAAACCCTAAACTTAGATGCACTTAAGATCCTACACAGCTTCAAAATTCGCACTAATTCTAAATGTTTCTCTCGTCGATGCTGCAAAAATAAGCGTATTGATCTAAGAAAACAGATTCTTGACTGCAGAAACAGAGCTATAAATACTTTAGCTCTTGTGATTGGTGAAATACAATGATTTTGTTTTCAAATATATTTGCATTCTCAATGGTGTTCACGGTTAACTGTCAAAGACAAAACATTTCAGCTGTCATTTCTTACAATAGTTCCAATTCTGCTTGCATGCCATCCAAAATGGAGAAAGAGCGACTCACCGCGAGCGAAGTTAAAGAATATCTCGCCCGTATCAATTACAAAGGCCCTGTAAAATCAACTTTTGAAGCGTTAACTGAATTGCAACGATGCCATATGCTATCCGTGCCTTTTGAAAACCTGAGCGTTTTTGGAAAAGAGGAAATAATTATTTCCAAAGATTGGTTGTTCGACAAAGTTGTTCGATGAGAACGTGGTGGTTTGTGCTATGAACTGAACAGTTTGTACTCGCTCCTTCTCGATCATTTTGGTTTCAGTCACACTCTCCTTGCAGGTGCAGTGTTCGACAGCCACGGGGGAAATCGTAAAGGAATGCCTTTTGATCATATGATTTTAATGGTCGCTATAGAAGACAATCTGTGGCTGACTGATGTTGGATTTGGAGACTCCTATTTAACCCCTCTATGTTTCACTATGTTAGAGCCTCAAGAACGAAAAAGTGGAATTTATCGCATCCGTAAAGAAGGTGAAGAGTATCTATACGAGGTACTGAAGCCTAAGGTAGTTACAGAAGAGCCTAGCCGTGAAGACAAGAGCAGAAGTGACGTCGAAGAGTGGGTTTCAAGGTGTAAGTTTGATCTGACTCCAAGGAGCAAAAAAGATTTCAAAGACATGCTTGACTACCATCAAACCAACCAGGAGTCGCCATTTACACACGGACGCATTTGCACCATGGCAACCTCTTGTGGAAGGGTAACTCTTGTAGGGAATAAACTAATAACTTCAACCTATCTCGGAGACAACAAAGTTCGGAAAGACATGAAGGATCTCGGCGGAGAGGAGGAAGTAGTAAAAAAACTTGAAGAGAACTTTGGGATAAATAAAGAATCTTGTTTATACCCTGAAGGATCTGTATTCCATTGATTAGACAAAGATAAGGGGCAAAGAAAAAAGGCACATATCTTTTGGTCAATGAAACAAATCACTTAATACATGCTTATTGGCCAGATTGAACTAGCCAGGTAAATAAACAAATGAAACACATGACAAAGTTTGTTGAAAGTAAATCTAATGTAAGTAACTATGTACTTCCACTTTATTTTATTTCCACAAATAGACAGTTACTGACTGAAGCGTTTCCAGTATGAGAAGACAATTTGTGCCTTAACTAGAGACTGATAATAATGCTGATCTTCCTTAGGGAAGTGCTTGGTTCTTACTGTCCATAATTACCAGTCATAACCTCTTCCTGAAAAAATATAAATTTGCAACCTAAAATAATTAACTACTAATACTCCATTTATGAAGTTAGTTCTCTATCATCTCAGTTACTATTTAACCTTGGCACTATTTACTTACTATATGACAAAGTTACATGCAAGTTGATATAATATACACTGTGTTGACAGAGGGGGACATTGGGCTTTGGCAAGGACTTAATTAATTCCATAAGCTATAATAAGGAATCTTCCTCTTCCATGATAAGAAATAGGAGTGAGGAATTCTTGATTAATCTTATCTTAAATTGTAGTTCATAGTTTTATATTTTTATATTTGTATTATTACTATTAATTATTATTTAACTTAGATAGATAGTAGATATGCAGGTCCACATCAGGACTTCAGTGTTGCGTATTCTGTAACCTGCATCATAACTATGCCTGCGTTACCAAATAAATAAACTATGTATGTATGTATGTATGTATGTATGTATGTATGGGTGTTGTATCCCTTTTTAATGTGGTATTAGGAAGAAGAACAACTCACATTGCTGTGATCTGAAACTTAACTGCAGTGTACAATGTTTGTAATTTTAAATTGACAGTGTTTAAACTTTTGAAAGCCTAGATTTTGAAAACCTGTGGTTAATTGTTGAAAAAAGTTGAACAAAGTAATAATCATTAACCTCAGGCCATGGTCATTAAAATTTTACTTGACCCGTGGACCTCTACCACACATGCTATCAGCCAGCCAAATACCAGGGTGTGGTACAGATGAGTGAAAAAAGACCAGGTAAATCCTGAGACCTTTTTTACATCCTGGTGTTGGTGCATTGATAATATTCCTTGCGGTGATGCGGTGTTTGTTCTATTTTGTTTGGAGTGTCGCAGTATTCAGAAACCCCCACGTCCCCCTCTTGACAAAACAAACAAGATTTGTCTCCAAAAAAACCGTTTGTTCATTTACATCCAATAAAATCACTTACTATGTTTGACAGCAAATAGTGTCTTTAAAATAAGTTCCTCAGAATGAAATTCAAGGTTTTGGTCTTGATTGATCTCTATATTTATTTCAAATTCCATACCGTTAAGGTTTTAATATAAATTCTCATTTAAGTTCGTCTTGCACACAATTTACATAATTTGGGTCATAAATCAAACAACATCCCATAGTTTTTTCTCATCACTTTCTGTTTGATATTGTAGTCAGGTTAATATTATACATAGAGGCTACTTTTTGGTTTCTCTTTGGGGAGTAGAACATGAAAATCTTGCAGTGCAGTGATGTAAATTTCATATGATAAGATTGGTCACTTGCCTTTCAAATTGTAATAAAAGGTTTCCTGATCATAACTCTACAGAAGATTTGTGCAACTAGCACTCGATGATTACCATTACCATTTTTTATCCTGATGGACTTCAATTAGCTTGAAAAGAGAAATTCTCTCTTTCCTCTGTAGTCAAATGCCTCTAGCCACAACCTTTTTCATGATATTAGCAATGACCAGAAGGAAATATTCTACTTCCCATGTATCAAACTGCAAAGTTTGTTCAACTAGTTCAAAAACTAACATACTTAAATGTACTTTGCAAATCCAAGAAATGTAGACTAAATCTTCTTCAGTAGGTGATACCTCTAACTGTAACTGATTTGGAGGTTACCTACTTTATGTTATGAACAATTTTTTTTCTGTTCCTATTTTTGGCCTAGGCAAGATGTGCACAGGCCATAAATCCAAGCAATCCATAAATCCATCTCCAACACTTGTTTTTCTTCATTTCAGGTACTAAGTAACTTTCATAACCCAGAAGTGATTAACATGTAACTTCTCCCCATAATATCCATACATGATCCAGCAAACAGGTAATGAGAATATGCAAACTTATCAGGTAGGATTTCTTATCTTGATATAAGACCTGGTCCTCGCAACTTAGTTCCAAGGAAATGTGTAGCAGCTAGAGGGGAGAATTAATAGACCACTTTCATAAATGGCTGCCGTATAAATATTCTTTTGTTTAAATTTAAATTAGCCCTTCTGGCCTTGCTTTGGATAATGTATTCTTTTGAATTTTGTACTGGAGAAGGAGGCCTGTAGGGCTAATTTAAATTTAAACAAAAGAATATTAATCCAGCAGCCATTTATGAAAGTGGTCTGTGCTTAGTTCTTGGGAGCTAAAAGGGCTAAACATACAGAGAGGCATTAATACTGTCATCTGAACCCATTCCAGTTGCTAGAGGCACAGGATGTTGTGTTCGTCTTGACACTACAATCTTCATCTTGATGAACCTGAACTCTCCGAAGTACGTGAACAAGTAGCTCAACAGAGTTAATGCCGTAAGCCATTCAGAAACATCTCCAATGACATGATAAACATAGTGCTTTTCTGTCGGGTTCCAGCGTAGTCTGGGTTCATCGCTGGCCAGGTGGTAACGTACTCCATTGACACTGGCATATGAGGTAGCTGTTGCACATGTGGCAAAGAAGATTGTTGCAGCAAAAGCAATGGCCACTCGTAAGATGAAGAGACTGCGTGTTATCACACCGCAAAGACTCATCTTATAGGAAATAAAAGATTGAACCCAGCAATAGAGAATACCTCCCACAAAAATGAGAAGTGCACCAATAATGTGGATAAATGAGACAACATCCTCCTAGTGTTTGAAAAGAAAAGAAAACATTCTTGTCTTTGAAGTGGCCACAATATTAATTTAGCAGTTTCTTGTTTTGACATAGTTTTAGTATGCTTTTGCAAAGGTTACATTCAATGTCATTGACCCCTTGAATAACTCCCTGAGGCAATTTAACGTGTAACTTCTCTCCAAAATATCCCTTAAATATCCAACAAACAGGTAATGAGAATACTCAAACTTATCAGGTTTAAGCTGTAAGCTTGATCTAACACCAAATTCTCATAACATACATACATACATACATACATACA